GGCGAGGGCAGCCCCGGAGCTAATCACTGCTAACGGGATTGACGGGCTGGATTTCCTCACCCAGAACATCCCCGGCTAATTCTGAGAGCAGCTTCTGCTGAGCCGAGCCGGATGCTGGGAGAGAGCCTCTGTCTTCTCCAGGGACCCCTGCACGTCCCTGCTCCCCTGCACTGTGCCGTGGGCTTGCAGGGGTGGCACACTGGTGGGGTTGGCAGAGAGTGTGCCAGTAAATCCCAGTGCTGCTGTCCCCCCAGACATGACAGTCTGACAGGCATTGTGGGGGCGCTGGTGCAAAGTCCCCAGAGCCATGGGGTGTGGATGCCTGGGGGGAGACCCCACAGCCCCCATGGCTAGGCAGGGGCGATGCCCACGGTGCTGTGATGGGGCCCGTTCCTGGTGTGGGGTTGGGGTTCAGCGGGGGTTCAGCACAGACGGATTATCTCTGCTTTGTTTCTGCCTCTGGCCTGCGTGTGGCAGGGACAGGATTAGAGCGAGGGGCTGGGGCAGATGGGTGTGGGGCAGCAGGAGACAGATGGGGCTGAGGCTCCCAACCCCCTGCCCACGCCAGGCTGGGGTGGGGGCAAGCCCTCTCCATGCCCTGCCGGTGCTTGCAGCCTTCCCCATCTGGCTGCTCCCCTCTCTGTTCAGCAGGCAGTGGGGTGCAGCCTCCCAGCCATCAGCACCCCTGACCCTGCAGTGACAATACAAGGGATTGAGCCCCAAGCCCTGTCCCTGTGCCACAGGGCAGGGAGCACCCAGCTCTGCAGGACCCTGGCACCCCCATCCATGGGGGTTCTCAGTGCCAGACCCCTGCAGGTCACAGTTCCCCCAGTGCCAATGGCATGTGTGGGTGTGGAGGGGGCCCATGGCGTCATCCCTTTACCCAAACCTTTAAGCTGCCGTCAGAAATAGCCCCCTCTAATCTGCTTGAGCAGACACGGGGAACCTGCCCAGAGGAGCAAATCCTGGGGCAGGGGATTAGGAGGAAGCAGCTCTTGCCTGTCCACGCAGAGACGTGTGCTCAAGTCCTTGGGGTCCCTGGGGGGTGGGCGCCCAGTGCTGGCTGTGTCCCTCACCTCACCGAGGGAAACACCAGTGCCAGGAGGAGGGAGAGGCTGGGACTGAGGGCACCTGCTCTGGCCCCTCCTCTGGGAGGGGTCCAGTGGTTAGGCAGGACACGGTCGGTGTCAGGATTCCAGTGGGTGGGAGTCCAGCAGGAGAAGGAAGGCATCCGTGAGGGGCAACTCCAGCCGCGTCCATTCATCCATTATTTGGGTGCTAACGAGGAAGGGCATTGGGGCAGGTGGTGGGGACGGGCAGAGCATGCGTTGGCATTACCAGCGTCACACCCACGCGGCTTGTGCTACGTGCCAGCCAGCTCCTCCATAATTCAGCACACCATGATTTATTCAGCTTTCCTGCTTCCATGCTGCCTCTGCAGCAGGGTGGTTGTGGGGAGCTGAGGGTACCAGCCAGGGAGCACAGGGAGCCTCGATGGGGCATGGAGGGGGCCAGGCTCGTGCCAGCCCATGCTCAGAGCCAAGGGGTGCTGAGTGGGATGGAAAAGCCCTTTCCCAGCTCACGGACCAGGCGGGTCCCAGCACTGCACTGGGCCCTGCGTGTGCAGGGTGTGTGATGGCTGTGTGGGTGATGATGGGGGGACCAGGCCTGGGGTGGCAGAGCAGGGCTGGCTGGAAAAAGCAGACCCTGATTCTCACAGGGCCCAAAACCATTCCCTGTCCCTCCCAAGGGGCAGAAGCCGCTGTCTGTGCATAACCCTTGGGGTCAGCCCTGTGGAGCTGCTACATGGGGACCCCCGCATTCATCATCACCCTTGGGGACCCATGTGTCCAGACCCCCCATGTCCATGAGCTGGGACCAGAGGTGGGACACAGAGCCCAACTGCACCAGCCCCCCGGGGCTGAGCAGGGTTGTCGCGGGGAGTGCCTCAACGGGGAGCCCGGTCCTGGGATGTCCGAGAGAGACCGTGTGCCCGAGGTG